AGGCAGGGCCGCGACGGGCTGTACTAGGGAAGGGCGCAAGGCGCGCTTCGGGCAAAGCGCGATGCGCGCTTTGGGCAGGGCAGGAAAAAAAAAATCGTGGTGGGCCCTTAAAAAAAACGTTGCTCAGAATACCATGTTAGAATATGGAACGAATCAATGACTGAACTAGAAAGCAGGTGGGTACAAGTAGGAATCCTAAAAGTGTTGTACCCTATAAGAACTACCCCACTACAGCCTAAACAGACTATAGCATATAAGTTTGACATACCAATCTGCCCCCAGGAAGGAAGGCATTGGACTGCACGTGGGTGTTACGTATGAAGACCGATGCGGAGGGGAGGTTGGAGAGGCGCAAGACAAGGCTTGTGATCAAAGGCTTTCAGCTGAGGGAGGGGATCGACTTTCAAGAGGTGTTTGCTCCTGTTGCCAAGGCTCCTATGCTCTGGTTGTTGCTAGCAGCCGCTGTCGTTTGTGGCTGGAAGGTGGAGCAAATGGATGTGAAGACCGCGTTCCTCTATGGCGTGGTAGATGAGGAGATCTACATGAAGCAGCCAGAGGGGTATGACGATGGAAGCGGACGTGTTTGCAGGCTCGACAAGGCCATCTATGGCCTCAAACAAGCTCCAAGGTGCTGGTATGCAAGGCTGGTGGAGGCGTTGGAGGCTCTTGGCTTCAAAGTTAGCGGGCGCGACGAGAGTCTCTTCATGACCAAGGGGGAGGAGGAGAAGGTATTTATCCTTGTCTACGTCGATGACATCCTCCTCTTCTCTCCATCCCTGGAGAGGATCAAGAAGGGGCAAGGGAAGCTGATGGAGACCTTTCAAGGCCCTTGGACCAGTGGGGTATTACCTTGGTCTTCACGTGGAGCGGGACGAGGTGAAGGGATGGTTGAGGCTTCACCAACACAAGTACCTTGCAGCGAAGGGGGAGAAGTATGGGCTGAAGGAAGGGAGGAGTGTGAAGACTCCTCTACCCTCAGGGTTTCAGCTGCACCTTGATGAAGAGGAGGGTGAGGTTTTGGAGTACGAGTTGCAGCGTCGGTTCCAGTCAATGGTGGGGAGCTTGATGTACGCTTCGGTCAACACTCGCCCCGACATTGCGTTTTCAGTTTCACAGCTCGTGCGTGTGGTGTCTAGGCCCCTTCAAGAGCACCTGGATGCAGCAGAGAGGCTGGTGAGGTACTGCATGGCAACCTCAAGGGTGGGGCTGCAATATTCAGTGCATGGGCAGCTGAAGCAAAAGGGAGTGGAGGAGGTGAGCACAAAGGCTGGTGCACGTGCAAGGCGTGGGCACTTGTACCTCTCGTGTTTCACCGATGCTACCTGGGCAAGTGACATCAGTGATGCTACATCCCATGGTGGCTATATATGCTGTGTTGGAGGGAGTCCAGTGAGCTGGAAGTCTAAGAAGCAAGGAGAGATAGCTCACTAATCAACGGAGAGCGAGTACATGGCGTTGTTTCATGGAGTGAAGGAGGTTGTTTGGATGAGGAGGTTGCTCGAGGAGTTAGGGAAGGAGCAAGAGGGTCCTACACCTGTGTTTTGTGACAGCCAAGGAGCAATTGCAATGGCGCGTAATGCTGTGCTCCATGGGCTGAACAAGCACATGCATATCAAGTGGCATTGGGTGAGGAAGGAGGTGAAGAAGGGCACCATCTCCTTGCACTACATCAACACTACCAAGCAACCTGCAGATTTCTTGACTAAGCGGCTTGCAGAGCATCAGAATTGGAGCTGAGCCACCTTGTTGGCATGTCCTTCAACTAAGGGAGGCAGCTTCAGGGAGCAGCTAAGGGTTGAAGGAGAGCACGATGAGGGGGAGTTTGTTGTGCCAAAGCACTATAGTGGCACAGTCATCGCACTCCCATTCAGCCTACAAGCCTGCTCAGCTTCTGGAATTTTGTGGGGTGGTGCTTCAACATGTGTTCGTCTGACCCTCAAAGGTTCAGAATTTTTGAAGCAGTTTACAAGGCATGGCAACATTTTTTACTTTCAAGACTTGTGGCATCCCGGAAGTGTGTGTTACTCTTTTTTGGTAACACCCGAGTTCACCATTTCGGCTGCTGACTCATCTACGAAGCTCTGATTGGTCTGAAAATCGGTGTGGCAGTCCTTTGCCGTGTTTTGCAGGTGGTCACCGAGTTTCAGGACAACCCAGCATCGGAGCAGCACGTGACAGCTGTCGAAAGTTACTTTTCCATAGTCATGGTGCACTGTTGGCAGCATTTCCCTTGCCACCCTTTCATTGTTGTCATGCCAATGGTGCAGGGACAGAGAATGAGACAAGAAGTAAAGGTGGTCAAGTGGGACTCTAACACCCTCCTTTTGAGAAGTGTGGTCTTCCTGGAAGCAGCTTGCAAGAGGGTGCAAGTGGGAAGACAAGCTGACTCATGGTTGGCTTGACTCACTATTGGTAGCCTTGAGTACAGCTCTGAACATCCAAGTGTGGTTGGCTTTGCTGACCTAGCTAGGACGTTTCCCATCCTTCTCTAGACTTTCTCCCCTAGGACTCAACCTTCTCTGAGTTCCCAGGATGGTCCCAACCCCTTAAGAGTCCCCTAGGCAATGTTATACTCACCTCTTCCTTGCATCAATGAAACTACACGTTTTTCAGCCGAGCTTACGTTTTCGTTCATTGCGTAGCGCATACACCTCAGATGAAAACAAGCAATACTTCGTTGGAAAGCAGACACCTGAAGCTAAATTTCCTCCAAGTTTCAGCCTCGTATGTTATTGGAGCTGATTGTGACGGCGTTTTGAACAGAGGCAATTCGAAGTCATCAGATTCTGCTTAGGCGGTTTCAAGGACATCCGCGACCCCTAAGTGGACTCTAGACTATAACAACTGGACCTCGGCATGGAGGCCCTGGTGGTGGCCAGTGACAGCAGCAGCAGCGTGGGAGCGAGACCCAGTCGCCCCAGCAGCTCCGTGAGTGGTTGTTTCAGAGTTGGACGTCTGGGGGTAGTGATAGCTGCCCGTATGTCATTCGCACGGGTGTTCGTGCTGGTCAGACATGCGGGAAGCTTCACACTCAGCACCGCTGCTTCTCCTGCCTTGACGACGCTTGGCATGCTGATTTTGGTGACGACGTCGAGCTCCCTCGCTAGGCAGATCTGCTTAGGTCTAGGATTGCTATCTTTGACCTAGACTTTGATGCTATTCTTTCTGCTATGTATGCTTTATCTGTTAGTGCTGAGGGTGACTGTTACCGGTGTGTCCCGCCTGACCCAGGTATAGCTGCTGCTGGTCTAGGTGCTAGTGAGTCTGGTACTCTCCCTGGTACTGCGCCTGCTCCGGCCTTGCACACCTTCACGTTGGACTCAGGCGCCTCGCGCTATTTCTTTCGTGACAGCACCACTCTCACTCCTCTCCCTGCACCTGTCCCGGTTAGACTGGCTGACCCCTCTGGGGGCCCGGTCGTTGCCCGTTCCTCCACTGTCCTCCCGTGTCCGGTGGTTCCGTCCGGCTCACGATCAGGTCTTCACCTCCCCTCGTTCTCTACGAACGTGGTGAGTACCGCTGCCCTCCAGGATGTGATGGTCACTACCACCACTCCTGGGGGTCAGCGTGTGTCGATCTGCACGTGCACACAGACGGCGCGTCACCTGGCCACGTTCACTCGTCGGCCAGGGTCGAGTCTGTGCACACTCGCTACCGAGCCTCCTCATGTTGCAACGTCTGCTCAGGTGTCCGCGTCAGGTCAGGTAGCCGCCTCTTGCTCGTGTCGCCTCCTCTCGCACCAGACTCTTCTGTGGCACCACCGCCTGGGTCACCCCTCTCAGCCACGCATTCGTGGCATGCACTCCCGTCTTCTTGTCTCTGGTCTACCCAGGTCTCTGCCTCCCCTCCCGCCCTCGCCTGACCCGCCCTGCCTTCCTTGCGTCAAGGGGCGGCAGCGCGCCGCTCCTCACTCCTCCTCGTTTCCCCCGACAACTGCTCCCCAGCAGACTCTCCACACGGACGTGTGGGGCCCAGCCCGTGTCAGAGGACAAGGCCGCGAGTGCTACTTTCTGCTGGTAGTTGACGACTACACGCGGTACACCACGGTCTTCCCCTTGCGCAGCAATGGTGAGGTCGTTGATGTCTTGATCCCTTGGATCCGCACAGTCCATCTCCAGCAACGCGAGCGGTTCGGCCAGGTCCTTCCTGTCCTGCGTCTGCACTCTGACAGAGGTGGTGAGTTCTCCTCCAACCTCTTGCGGACTTTTGTCGTGGGGAGGGCATTCTCCAGTCGTTCACGCTTCCGGACTCCCCACAGCAAAATGGGATTGCTGAGCACCGCATTGGCTTAGTCATGGAGGTGGCTCGTACCTCCATGATCCATGCGGCTGCTCCCCATTTTCTGTGGCTGTTTGCGGTCCGGTACGCTGCGCATCAGCTCAACCTCTAGCACCGTGTCTCCTTACCGGAGTTCTCGCCCACACTGCGTTGGACGGGGGAGGTTGGCGATGCGTTGGTGTTCCGGGTCTGGGGTTCTCGTGCCTTTGTTCGCGATACGTCCGCGGACAAGCTCTCCGCCCGTGCTATCCCCTACGTCTTCCTTGGCTTTGTCCCTGACGCGCCTGGCTGGCAGTTTTACCACCCCACCTCGCGCCGTGTCCTCCCGTCTCAGAACGTCGAGTTCGACGAGTCGGTTCCCTTCTACCGTCTCTTCCCTACCGCTCTGCCCCTCCCTCGCCCCCGCTGCTCTTCCTTACTCCCGGTCCCCCTCCGGTAGACCCCCTCCCGCCCCAGGGTCCTGCTCCCTCCGGTGTGTCTCAGGTAGACCCTCTCTGTGGTATTGCGCCTGTTGAGATAGCTGTCGGCTTAGGTGCTGCTCCAGATGCTGCATCTGGGGGTGCTGCGTATGGGGGTGCGGAGCCGGGGGGTGCGGGGTCTGAGGGTGCTGGGTCTGGGGGTGCTAAGCTTGGGGGTGAGGAGCCTGGGGGTGCTGAGCCTGAGGGTGTTGAGCCTGGGGGTGCTGAGTCGGAGGGTGCGGAGTCTAGGGGTGCTGAGCCTAGGGGTGCTGCTTCGTCGGGAGGACCTTCTCGTGCTTCGCCGCGACTGTCTCCGCAGCAGCTGCGTGAGTGGCTTGTTCATCAATCACGCCTTCGGAGTGGAGCTCCCGGAGCTGGAGGCGCTGGAGACACTTGAGCTGGAGGTGCTAGAGTTACTGCTGGAGCTGGTGGTACTGGAGGTACTGTGGCTCCTGGTCCTGGAGGTGCTCGTACCAGGGGTACTGGAGCTGCCGGGACTGGTGGTGTTGGGGACACTGGAGCTGGAGACCCTACGGAGCCTGGAGCTGCTGGAGCTGGAGGCACTGGCGCTGGAGGCGCTGGAGCTGGAGGAGCTGGAGTTGGATGCACTGGTGCGGGAGGCGCTGGAGCTGCGGGAGCTGGAGCTATTGACCCTGGAGCTGGTGGTGCTGGAGGCACTGTGCGGCCGCGACTGTACTTCGTTCCCCTGCTTCAGCAGGTTCTTGGTGTCCCGTCTTCTCCTGGCCTTACTCCTCCCTTACTGTGTCTACCGCCTGACCAGTCGCAGCCGCCGTTAGAGCCAGCCTCCCCACTGCCTGCTCCCTCTCCTTACACTGAGCAGTCCGGCGGTCTTACAAAGCGTCGTGAGCCTGCGTCTTGTCCTATCTCGCCTGTTCGCACTGCTCGTCGCGTTCCTCGTTCGTGTCCACCTCCTGTCCCTGGCACGCACGCTATGGTACTCTGTCCTTCCTCTGTTCCACTGCGTGTTCCTCTGCCTGCTACTCCTGAGTCCTCTCTACCTGAGTTCCCTGACCCTGAGTCTGACTGCGCTCGTGCTGCCAGTCCCACTGTCTCTCGTCTCCTCGCCACTGCTGTCACTGACCCTTCTTTTGAATCTGCTGCTGCGTCTGCTCTCGTTGCTGAGCTGCTTGACTTTGCTGCTGCCTGCCGGCTAGACTACGCCACTGCTCTAGTTGCTGCGTCCGCATCTGCCAGTCCTCCGTCCGTCAGGGGTGAGTGTGCTCTTGGCACGGACGTCCTTGAGGACAGGCAGGAGGACTTTGAGTGTCTTGCAGCTGCTGTACCTCATTTCACTTCCATGCTGCTTGCCCCTGAGGGAGACCCGGATGCTCCAGACATCCCGACCCCGCGCTCTTACGCAGAGGCGATTACGGGTCCTTACCCCTCTCAGTGGCAGGCAGCCATGGATGCCGAGATAGCATCCTGGAAGTCGACAAGCACCTACATCGATGAGGTTCCCCCACGTGGGGCGAACATAGTCGATGGCATGTGGATCTTCAGTGTGAAGCGGCCGCCGGGTTCTCCGCCTACCTTCAAGGCGCGTTACGTTGCTCGAGGCTTCAATCAGCGACAGGGAGTTGACTGCTTCCATACCTTCTCCCCCACCCCGAAGATGACTACTCTTCGGGTGTTGCTGCACGTCGCTGCTCAGAGTGACTACGAGTTGCACTCTCTGGACTTCAGCACAGCTTTCCTGCAGGGTAGCCTGCACGAGGAGATCTTGCTGTGCCGCCCTACTGGCATCACAGGGTCGTTTCCTGCAGGTACCCAGTGGAGCCTCCACCGGCCAGTCTACGGTCTCCGCCAGGCGCCTCGCAAGTGGCACGACACGCTGAGGACTACACTTGCGGCTTTTGGGTTTGCTCCTTCTACTGCTGACCCGTCGTTGTTTCTCCGCACCGACACCTCGCTGCCGCCGTTCTACGTCCTCGTCTACATAGACGACCTCGTCTTTGCCACTGCTGACACTGAGGCACTGACCCTTGTGAAGTCGGCGCTGCAGAAGAGACACACTTGCACTGACCTGGGTGAACTACGCAGCTTTCTTGGCTTGCAGAGCACGGCGCACCATTACCCTGACTCAGTCACACATGGTGCACCAGGTCCTTCAGCGCTTCGGCTTCAAGTTCTCCTCGCCACTGTCCACTCCTCTGTCTACCGGCCACTCGCTCTCAGCTCCACCTTCGGACGAGTCCGTAGAGCTGAGTGGTCCGTACCCAGAGCTTGTGGGTTGCCTAATGTACCTGATGACGTGCACACGACCTTTCCTCGCGTACCCTCTCAGCCTTCTGGCTCGCTACGTGGCTCCCGATAGGCACCGAAAGGTGCACTGGGATGCTGCGAAGAGGGTATTGTGTTTCCTGTGTAGTATGTCAGGCATGGGGCTCGTGCTTGGAGGACGGGGTCCAGTTGTTCTCACCGGTCACGCAGACGCTTCTTGGGTTGACGACTAAGCTACGCAGCGGTTGTCACAGGATTACACCTTCAGCCTTGGTTCCGGCTCTGTTTCCTGGCAGTCTACCTGCTCGTCTTCGGTTCTCAGCTCGAGTTGTGAGGCTGAGATCTACGCAGGGGCCATGGCTGCACAGGAGCTACGCTGGCTCACCTACCTGCTGAGTGACTTGGGAGAGCAGCCTCGTTCGCCTCCAGTTCTGTACGTAGACAACAAGGCCATGATTGCCTTGTGTCAGGAGCACAGACTGGAACACAGAACGAAGCACATCGCTCTGCGATACTTCCTTGCTTGGGAGTTGCAGCAGCGTGGCCAGCTTCGTCTTGCGTACGTGGCCACTATGGCCAACATTGCTAATATATTCACCAAGTCACTTCCGTCTGGTGATCATCAGCGCTTCTCTAGTGTGTTACGCCTTGTGCCTACTTTGCCTCACTTGCTCACTGCGTGACTTTGCTTCTACTGTGATCTATATATATACCTGCATGCTTGTATTTGCTGGGATATGATCACTGTATTGTTTGTTCTTTTTTATATAACTCTCCATGTGAACTGGCCTTGTGGCCCTTTGCTTGTGCTCGGACTGTGTGGTGACTTTGTGATCCACCTTGAGCTTGCTTTGCTTTTCTTGACTGGTCTTGTGACCACTTGTTCTCCCCCACTTTGCCTATGGGGGTGTGTCAGAATGTTATATTGCTTACAATTGTGTAGGCTATAGTGGGGTAGAATGTTATAATGTCAGAATGTTATATTGCCTCTGACACCCCTCCGAACTGGGATGCCCGAAGTGCACATACTGGGATTCGAACCCAAGACATTCGCTCTGATACCATGTCAGAATCCCAGTCACTAGGCCTCTGGGATAAAAGGGCTTCTTAAGTAGCGGGTCAGTGCGCCCATAACCCCCCCAGGACTGTCACAATGTTATAGTGCTTACATTTGTGTAGGCTATAGTGGGGTAGCCCACAAGGGGTACAACCCAATTAGGGTTAGTACTTGTACCCAACTTCTGCTCAATGCATTCATCCTGGTTCGTAACTTTGACACGTTCGCCTGGGGGTTTATGGGCGCAGTGACCCGCTACTTAATAAGCCCTTTTATCCCAATGGTCTATTGGTTGGGATTCTGACACGAGCATCACGGACAAAGACACGTACCGCCATTTTGTCACCTCTGCCGAACGTCCGGCCACTCCCGTATTCACTGCCCGAATCAGCAGCAATCGACACCACCACCACGTCAGCTTCGACCGTTAAGTAGTCAAGTAACTTCCACACAGCAGCATCCTTCCAACCAGGCGGCGCCTTCAACGACAACGTCACAATCTGCACGAGGAACAAGAAACATCATAAGCTGCATGACAAGAACGGACTCCTGCATCACTGGTTCACCACCGACCTACTCACTAGAAGAACTGCTCGACGAAAGCACGCCTCGTCGCGAATCGCTAGAACCAAATCCGGCGTATGCAGCCATCACACAGAGCGAACCGTCCGGTCAAGATACTTGGTTCTTGGACAGCTGCTGCGGACAACACTATTGCTCATCAAATCGCTTCGTTCAACGGGAACAACACCTCAACCGGGAAGTCGTGATCACCGTCGCCAACAACCAGAACATGCGCACACGACGACAAGGATTAGTTCAACTTCAGTCCCATGAAACTAGCGTCGTTTTACAGATGTCAAAGGTTTTGATTGCAGAAGGACTGGGCTACAACTTACTCAGCGTCAGCCAGCTCATGGCAAAAGGGATTCACCTTGAAGCGGATAGCACCACTTAGGAGTTCAAGCTGTACAACGGGAAGGGAGGACTTTATATCAGGGAAGCGGTCCTGAAGACTAACGTCTTCATTTTTTATTTTGTTCCAGGTCAAGGAACAGTTGACAGCGATGGGATCGTCAATTTCACTACCTGGTTGCACCCACTAGATCTCGACGTGGCTAACGCATTTCTCTACGCTCCCGTCGACGCCGAAATCTTCGTCGCGCAACCACACAGATCAGACACAGGCCCTAATCAAGTATGTCAGCTGGTGAAATCCTTGTATGGCATCAAGCAAGCTCCGCGGCTGTGGAAGCAGTACGTACACGCCCGACTAATCCGCATCGGCTTTCAGCACCTAAAACATGACCAGGGGATGTACAGGCTCACAAAGGAAGCTGAGTACATTCTTCTCATAGTGCATGTAGACGACCTACTCTACATAGGCTCCTCTGACGGCATCACCAACTGGTTTGAAGGGGAGCTGCAACACGATCCTCCTCTCACTCACGGTTTCCTCTACCGTGACCCAGTACCTTGGACTCAACATTCTAGAGAGAGAGAACGCGATCTACCTCAGCGCCGCAAAATACGTTGACACCATCGCAAAACTCTTCGGACTGACGCCAGCCTCCATTTCGACGCCCTACCGCTACACCGCGGGAAATCACCAGGAAAAAACCAACCTGCTTGGACCTGCCAGCCTACGCAATTACCAACGAAAACTGGGATGTCTGCTCTTCGCAGCCGTCACCTGCCGACCGGATCTGTCATACTCAGCGAGTCAGCTTGCTACCCACCTCAAACGGCCGAAAGCAGAGCACATGGCCAAACTCGACCGCGCCTTACACTACCTCGTCAGCACGCCAACGATCGGCCTAACCTACCGCAAGATCGGAACCACTACTCCAAAGCTAATCAGCTACGTAGATGATGACCACGCAGGCGATTCTGAGAACAAGCTATCGCGCACCAACTATATCTATCGACTCGAGCCCATCGGTCCAATCTCGTGGCAGTCGAGCAAGCAAGAACTAATTGCTCTCTCCTCTGCTGAAGCTGAATACATAGCACTCTGCTCAGCCACCAAGGAAGGACTGTTCCTTCACGAACTACTGGAAGAAGCAAAGCTGGCCCAGTTACCCAGCTTCTCCCTCTTCTGCGACAACCAATCTGCAATTCGCATAGCGAACAAGAGCGGGTTTGCAAACCGAACGAAGCACATTGCCCTGCGCTATTTCTTCGTGAAGGACGAGATCGAGAAAGGGAGACTCGAGCTATCCTACTGCCCCACGTCCGAGATGGTAGCAGACTACTTGACCAAGAAACTGTCAGAACATTATAGCTTATACATTTGTGTAGGTTGTAGTGGGGTAGCCCATAAGGGGTACAACCCAACTAGGGTTAGTACTTGTACCCAACTGTTTCATAGTTCATTCATTCCTCGTTCGTTAGTTTAACATGGTATCAGAGCAGGTTCCTTGGGCCCACCACCTACTACGCTGCTAGTAACCGCCCCTAGGCCCGTTGCTCCTAGCCTACGCGGCCCGTCGACCCCTAGCCCGCGCCCGGCCCCGTCCCTAGCCCGCGCCCGGCCCCGTCGGCCCTTAGCCACGCGCCCGGCCTCGTACCTAGCCCGCGCCCGGCCCCGTACCTAGCCTCACGCCCGGCCCCGTATCGCGCCCGGCCCCGAATCGCGCCCGGCCCCGTATCACGCCCGGCTCCGTACTTAGCCTCGCGCCCGGCCTCCGTTCTACGCCCAACGCCCGGCCCCGTACCTAGCCCGCGCCCGGCCCAGTACCTAGCCCGCGCCCGGCCCCGTATCGCGCCCAACGTCCGGCCCCGTACCTGCCCAGTGCCTGGCCCCGTCCCTTGCCCAGCGCCCGGCCCCGTACCAAGCCCGCGCCCGGCCCTGTACTTAGCAAGCGCCCGGCCCCGTACCTAGCCTCGCGCCCAGCCCCGTATCGCGCCCGGCCCCGTACCTGCCCAGCGCCCGGCCCCGTCCCTTGCCCAACGCCTGGCCCCGTATTGCGCCCGGCCCCCTACCTGCCCAATGCCCGGCTCCGTCCCTTGCCCAGCGCCCGGCCCCGTACCTAGCCCGTGCCCGGCCCCGTACTTAGCCCGCGCCCGGCCCCGTATCGCGCCCAACGCCCGGCCCCGTACCTGCCCAGCGCCCGGCCCTGTCCCTTGCCCAGCGCCCGGCCCCGTAGCTAGCCCGCGCCCGGCCCCGTACCTAGCCCGCGCCCGGCCCCGTACCTAAACCCGCGCCTAGCCCCGTTCCGCGCCCAACGCCCGGCCCCGTACCTGCCCAGCGCCCGGCCCCGTCCCTAGCCCAGCGCCCGGCCCCGTACCTAGCCCGCACTCGACCCCGTACCTAGCTCGCGCCCGGCCCCGTACCTAGCCCCGCGCCCGGCCCCGTCCTTAGCCCAGCGCCCGGCCCCGTACCTAGCCCGCGCTCGGCCCCGTACCTAGCCCGCGCCCGGCCCCGTCGGCCCCTTGCCCCACTGACACTGCTCCTACTGCTACAGCTGCTACTGTTGCTGCTACTGCTGCTACTGCTATCCTGCGTGCTGCACAGCTATGGCTTCGCTTCGGATTCTCGCATTTGATCATGAGGGCAGACCGGTTCAGTTTGACACGTAGCTAGACGACCTGCAGCTGTACCTACTGAGCGATTCTAAGGACAGTGTCTCGCTGTTTGACCTAGTGTCAGGCACTGCTACTGCCCCTCCCGCCACAGCTGACAGTTCGACTCACTCACAGTGGCTTACTCGTGACGCTGCTGCCCGCTTAGCCATTCGCAACCACCTGCTATTAGCTGAATGCGCTCACTTCGGACAGCACAGGACAGCGCAGGCACTGTACGACGTTGTAGTTGTTAGAGACTAAGGACGGAGTCTATGAAGATTAGGTGCCTAAATTTCTCAAAATCGTTGGTCCCTATTTCTGGACAGAATAGTTGCGCTCACAAGAAACGCCGTCGACGAAACGTGCACAGTCAAAACTTCACTAAACTCATATATGTTGTAGCCCTACTCCGTGGCTACAATTCCCAAGTTGAAACGTATCAAGAGGTGAAGTAAATCTCGACTTATCAA